TAATAGCAGATTTGAATTCCTCACACCCAGATACATATTTTTTTAAGACCCCTTATGGGAGAAATTTGCAAAACAACAACAACAACAAAACAAACCACCCCCTAAATGTGGTGGGCAATGCTGATATTGAGTCACCAGAGGGTCAATAGTTTTTAACATTTAACGTGGCAGTGGCGAATTGTGTCTGGTTATTAAAGCTGTATGTTTGCTTTTCATTGGTCCACCCTGAATTTACAAACCTTTAAACCTCACAAATCATTTAGCCATGTAATTCTCTGGGAATTACAAACTCAAGACGAACAAAGGTTTGCAGCGCTGAACTGCAGTAATTAAGTGCTTTTGAATTTGCACCTAAATGTTTGGCTTTCTTTCACCCTTGACCACCGGAGTAAGGAAAGCAATTTGTCTAATGACGCTAGATGTGTGGAATAATTTTTAAAGAGCAAACTCATTTAATAACATTTGTTTATAAGCCAGCTATGGCGGGGAAAGCAAAGAGATTGGCTTTTAAACTGCAATAGTGGTCAGATAATCATTTGCTGGAAGCAGAGGCAGTTTTAGGGTAGCATGACTGGTTCAACCGCACTTGGCCGTGGTGCCACAGGGGGCGACACTAGCACAATGTCAAATTTTAGCATCACACAGAACACAGCTGAAATTTGAGAGCCCAAAACCCACCACTGCTGAAAGCTATGGGTGCCATTCAGCAGAAAGTCCCCCTGCAATAACACTCAGGAAATCGTCCCAGGATATTCTAAATTAAGTTTACCAGGCGTCCCAGTTTCCCAGGGACAGTCCCCAGATTTACAAATCAGTCCCCTGACAAAATCCTGTCATTCCTACTGAAGTTGAAAAGTGTCCCCAGATTCATTGAAAAAAATCTGGTAACCTTGTTCTAAATTTTATACCCTCTTGAATTATATACCCAGTACATGGAACCTTACAAAAGGACAATAAGAATGGACTCTCCATGCCCTTACCACAGCAAAAAGACTGATACTGATGAACTGAAAAAATAAAAATGCGTTTCCCTTCTGCGATTGGATTGAAGACTTATACAAACTCTCAACATAGGAACAACTTGCATATAAACGCAGACTTGCCGTGGACAAATTCAATGATATTTGGAATCCATTCTTACAAACACTGTAATAGATTAAGATCTGATGAAGTACAATAACAACTTTGTAAAGTATACAGTTTTGGGTTTTTCCCTTCCCTCCTTTATTTTCCCTTCTACACGTGTGCTGTTTCCTCTCTCTCTCTCTCTCTCTCTCTCCCTCCCTCCCTCTCCCTCTCTTATTTACGTCTCACCAGGGACTCGGGTGGTGCTGTGGGTTAAACCACAGAGCCTAGGACTTGCTGATCAGAAGGTCGGCGGTTCGAATCCCCGTGACGGGGTGAGCTCCCATTGCTCAGGCCCTGCTCCTGCCCACCTAGCAGTTCGAAAGCAGTTCAAAAGTAGATAAATAGATACCGTTCCAGCGGGAAGGTAAACAGCGTTTCTGTGCACTGCTCTGGTTTGCCAGAAGCCGCTTAGCCATGCTGGCCACATGACCCAGAAGCTGTACGCCGGCTCCCTTGGCCAATAAAGCGAGATGAGCGCCACAACCCCAGAGTCATCCATGACTGGACCTAATGGTCAGGGTTCCCTTTACCTTTACCTTTATGTTTAGTGCACATATAATTATGTAGTTTGTTTGTTTGTTTGTTTTTTGCTCAACACACAACGAAAAAGGACAAAGTAAACCATAGAGAAAGTACCATCAGTCATGCCATACATAAAGAATTAATATAAATTTCATAATCCTTAAACTGTAATGGTCTCTTCTTTTTAAATCCAACTTCCCATCTACTCCATAATTCAAATTACCATTCTTTACTGCCAATACATGTTGTTACTGTCATCTCAAATCACTTCAAAATATGTTAAATTGCATAACTGATGAACAATATTGCTGGAATTATTCAAAAGCCGCTACGGATTTTAAGTCAGTATTATTAATTTTCAAATATATTTTAAATACTTCCCATTTTGAAACGAATTCTTTCCTTGGTTTGTTCTTTAGTTTTTTGGATAGGCTATCTAATTCGGCATGATCAATCATTTTTTGGATCCACTTAATTATGTACTTTTTGAACTTTCAATAAAGATGTCTGGGGTTTTTTTTCTTTAAAGAAATCATCCCTGGACACTTCCAAGCACTAGTGATTGAGGACACCATCCCAGATTCCCCAGATTTGACTTTCACAGCATTACCCATGATTATTAACAAGCCAGATTGACTTTGTACTCCTGGAGCTTGGATGTTAATGAGTAGCTTACCCCAACCCTATTTACATGTTTATTTGAATGTGCCTACAGGAGGCTGGCAGCATTGCATCCACTTGTGTCTGTTGCTGCTTTGTGCACACTTTTGGCCAAAGTTGGGAAAGGATGTCTGTATGTTCAAATTGTGCCTGCACAGACTGCAATCGTGTCATCAGGAACCCTGCAAAGATTCCCCGATGGTGCAGATGAAGGCGACATATGTACGGTTTGGGCATATGAAATCTCTTTCGCACCTTCCACTAAATGTGCACCTGGGCCAGCAATCTGATCCCCAGACTTAAATTCAGATGAATGTGTCAAGAGTAATCTGGAACTCGTAACAAATATGATAGAATTGTCAAGCTGGCTAAGAAGCTCTGGTGCCAAACCAAACTGATTTCCACAGGGATGAAACCAGGATGTTTCTGTGTCTTGGTCTTGCACTGTATGTTCCTAAGAATTTTTGGCATGGAAATCTTACATTGGCATTGATAAATTAACTATATGGCATGTTCAACAGGTATATCATGATCTACCAATAAATCACTGGACGTCCGTGGCAGATCACTGGTAGATCACTGGCTCCTCCCAAAAAAGCTAAACAACCTTGACCTGAACCCCTAAAAACAGGGCTTTCATTCCTAAAAAAACAACTCAACAATTTTCACCAGAACCCCCCGCCCCCAAAATGGGGTAGATCACTGCTAGCTTGTAAATATGTGAGTAGATCGTAGTCTCTTGGGAGATGGCCACCTAATGCAAGCTTTGCATTGTCTCCAATTTATCCTGAAACATTTCTCTCTTTCTTTAGCAAGAGAGTAGCCTTAGGTTGCATGAAACCATACCTTTAAAGTACGGTACGTGGCTTTCTCCAAAGAATCACGAGAACTGTTGTTTACTCCTCACAAGGCTATAATTCCTAGTACCCTTAACCAGTGGCATAGCGTGGGGTTCACAGGGGCAGTTCCCTGGGTGCAAAATTGTTAGGGGTGCAAAAATTAGACACCCGGTGCCGCCTCTGTGCGCTTCCATCACTGGGCTCTGTTAAAAACGGCTTCTCCATGCAAACCAGGAAGTAACCTCTCCAGACAACAGAATGACTCTTCTTTTCTTATCTTTGCAGCTGCAATCTCCTGGGTGACCCAGATGCCATTTGGCAGTTGAATGTGCATGAATACTCCGTCCATTTCTCCCCCTTCCCCCCACGTCTGCACGGTCCCGGACACTGGCAACCCATGCTATGCCACTATCTATAGTTCCCTGGATTCTTAGCGGGATGTCATACATTTGAATGTATGGTGTTTCCACAGCCTTATTCAGACAACATATCCATGATTATGGATTGTGGAAGAGCAGGCTCATGCATGTGCTGACACACACACAAACAAGCACACTGATATTTATACATCCATTAGAAACTGTATGCTGTATGTTATATTGATGGTACCTAACACCGAGTAAATTGGCAAAAATGTATAAATCAGAATCAAATAAGTGTTGGAAATGTAAAGAGAAAGAAGGTTCTTTTTATCATATGTGGTGGTCTTGTTAAAGCTTACTGGGAAATGATATATAATGAATTGAAAAAGATGTTTAAAATAATGTTTGAAAATAAAACCCAGAAGCCTTCGTTTTGGGAATTATAGGGACAGAACTATGCAAACTGCATAGAAATTTATTCATGTATGCGACTACAGCAACAAGAATGTTACTTGCCCAAAAATGGAAAGAAGAAGTCCCAGCAAAAGAAGAATGGATACAAAAACTTATGGAATATGCAGAAATGCCAAAACTTACCGGAAAAATAAGAAATCAAAGTAACAAACTTTTTAAAAAGGAATAGAAATGGTTTATTGATATTTACAAATAAACTGTAAACAGATAAGAACATTGGCAGGATTATTGTAATAACCTGTAGTTTTATAAGAGTATATATTTAAAGTAGATGAATAAATGAGCAAAATTAAGTTAATTTGGAATATGCAGAAAATATAAGAAATAAATTTAAGGAACGACAGAAAGAGGGGGAAGAAAGTCGAGTTTTGATATGTCAAAATGATTGTAAAATTATTGAAATGTATAAAACTGAAAATTATAAAGGAAGGAAAAGAAAGAAAGAGAGAAAGAGAGAGAGAAAGAAAGAAAGAAAGAAACTATGCTGTGCTCACAGCTTTGGACAAACCTGCCATCACTCCTTATCCCTGCACCCCATCCCTGCATTCATTTCCACAGAAACATTATTTGTATTGGGGTAGCATAAAATCACAGAATCATAGAATCATAGAGTTGGAAGAGACCACAAGGGCCATCGAGTCCAACCCCTGCCAAGCAGGAAACACCATCAGAGCACTCCTGACATATGGTTGTCAAGCCTCTGCTTAAAGACCTCCAAAGAAGGAGGCTCCACCACACTCCTTGGCAGCAAATTCCACTGTCGAACAGCTCTTACTGTCAGGAAGTTCTTCCTAATGTTTAGGTGGAATCTTCTTTCTGAGTCATCCTGATTCACTTTGAAGTAATACTATGTATATGACATACTTTCATAGGACTTCATGCTTGATGTACCTAAGATCTAGAGCTCAGTTTGAGTCAGAGCTCTCTATTATAAGTAATAGAAAACATAGAATTGTAGACATGGAAGGGACCACAAGGGTCATCGAGTTGAACCTCCTGCAATGCAGGAAACATTTGCCCAATGTGGGGTTCGAACCCATAACCCTGAGATTAATAATCTCCTGCTCTACCAACTGAGCTATCTCAGTAGTTTGCTTTCAGGTGTCAATGTTTCGGAAGTCAGACTGAAAAATGAACATGAGATTGAATTGGAGCTTGTTCATTGAATACCCACCGTCACCTATCTGATCAGGGATGAAAGATTGGGGAGAAATTATGCTGAATCAGGGCATAACTTCACAGCAGGTTTGATACCCCAGGTATTTGGGAAATGAAGCACCACACTACTGCTTCCACTGCTCTTTTTATGTAATGCCAGTGGTGTGCTTTGAACAGTGGAATGGCACAATCCTTGCCCAATGAGCAATATAAGACAGGGATGCGGGTGATCTAAACCCCTCAGCCTCTTGGGCTTGCCGATCGGAAGGTCAGAGGTTCGAATCCATGCAATGGGGTGAGCTCCCATGGCTCTGTCCCACCTCCTGCCAACCTAGCAGTTTGAAAGCACAGCAGCGTGAGTAGATAAATAAGTACCTCTGCAGCAGGAAGGGAAAACTGTGTTTCCGTGTGCTTTGGTTTCTGTCATAGTGTCCCGTTGTCCCAGAAGCTACTGTTAGGACCATCATGAGATGTCCACCAGCTTCCAACCACGGATACCAGCAGCCTTCAAGCAAGCAAACTTGCCTTATTATCGCTCCCTAGCATCCCACTGCCAGAGGATTGCCTCCTTCCATTCACCAGTTTGTCTCCTCCAAGTGGAAGAAACCTGGGCAGTGCTGAATGTCACATCCATTGCCAGGTGTGTCCTGCTGGAAATAGAAAAGGGCTTTCCCCTTGGCCTGACTTTATATCCACTCAGTTGCCAAGTGCTTTTGTGACATCACAAGAAACCCACAGCCAATGGCAACAGCTGGGGAGGCATCATCTTCATTGCTTTGAGCCTCACAATGGTGGGTGCACTTATCAGTGATTGGGTGCTTGTTTATTTGGGAAGGAGGTGGCACTGTGGTCTAAACCACTGAGCCTCTTGGGCTTGCCAATCAGAAGGTCGACAGTTCAAAACCGGGGTGAGCTCCCATTGCTCTATCCCAGCTCCTGCCAACCTAACAGACTGAAAGCATGCCAGTGCAAGTACATACATAGGTACCGTGGCAGCAGGAAGGTAAACGGCATTTTCATATGCTCTGGTTTCCGTCATGGTGTCCCGTTGTGCCAGAAGTGGTTTAGTCATGCTGGCCACATGACCCGGAAAGCTGTCTGTGGACAAATGCCGGCTCCCTTGACCTGAAAGCAAGATGAGCGCCACAATCCCATAGTCGCCTTTGACTGGACTTAACCATCCAGGCGTCCTTTACCTTTAACTTTACCTATAAGACAGGGATGGAGGAGGGCCCTGAAACACACTCAGTTAGTGGAGGAGAAGCAGGTTAGGAAGAGTTAATGTGGTCCTCAAAAGACTTTCCTAAAGGAATCCATCTGGATGGAAAGGGATTTGAGATTGCCTAGCAAAACCAAATGGGAGGGCTAATTCCAACTAAAAGTGGAAGTGAGGCTGCCATATATCCAGAAGAGATATGACAGACTTGTTTACTTTCTTTTTTTCCTTTTGGTTGAACTGATTCATTTAATTTTGTTCAATATTTTGCTGGCAGTGTAGTGGCACCGTTCCATTTTCTTCAATCTGTGACTCAGAGGAAGTGCTGGGAATAGAGATGGAAAGAAACCAAAAAGCTATACGGTAGATAGTATTTATTTGTTTGTGTGTGTGTTTCATCCCCACCATTGGATTAGAGGCAGAGAATGAGCACAGACATCTAGGGTCCCTTGTACCCTTAGCAAGGAACTGTATTGGTGCCCCTCAATGAAAAAAATTACGACAAAAGCCACAGTGGAAATCACTGGTGGAAATGTAAGGTAGTAAAATAATTTTGGGAAATGATATACCGTATAATGAGTTGAAAAAAATGTTTAAAATAACTTTTTCTTTAAAAAAAACCCAAAGCCTTCCTTTTAGGAATTCTAGGTGCCGAAATCGCAAGGGAACAGAAAATACTATTTATGTATGTGACCACAGCTGTGTGGATGTTATTGGCCCACAGATGGAAAGAAGATAAAGTCCCTACCTGAGAAGAATGACAGATAAAGTTGATGGATTATGCCGAAATGGCAAAAATGACGGTAAGAATCAGAAATCAGGAAGACCAAAATTTTAATAAGGAATGGGGGGAAATTATAATTTATCTTAAAAACCATTGTAAACAATTAAAATCGCTAGTAGGATTGGAACAACGCTTGTAGTTTAAGGGTGAATTTTGGACACAATGGAGAGGTAAAAGATTTGGATTATCATAAAATATGCAGGAGGAAATGATTCACAATAGGACCCACAAAGGGGAGGATGGAAGTCCAGGGTGAGCGATTTTCGTCAATTCCCCCTTAAAAAAACCTCAGCAACTCGGGGCAATCTCCCCCCGTTTTCTTAATTTGGAGTCCCCAAATTATACATGGGGGCGTGTTATACACGGAAAAATACGGTATTTTTAAAAAGGTTCCTGAAATAAATTTTTAAGTGTCAAATTTAGAACAGGGTTCATTTTTGCACTCACTGCAGTAACTTATATAAGGAGATTTTTGCTTGCTGTTATAAAGCCACTGGAAAAATAAACACCCTCTCAAATAGCCTTCACCAGCCTAAGGTAAAAGTAAAGGGACCCTTGACCATTAGGTCCAGTCGTGGCCGACTCTGGGGTTGTGGCGCTCATCTCACTTTATTGGCCGAGGGAGCCGGCGTACAGCTTCTGAGTCATGTGGCCAGCATGACTAAGCCACTTCTGGCGAACCAGAGCAGCACACGGAAACGCCGTTTACCTTCCTGCTGGAGTGGTATCTATTTATCTACTTGCACGTTGACGTGCTTTCGAACTGCTAGGTTGGCAGGAGCAGGGACTGAGCAACGGGAGCTCAACCCGTCACGGGGATTCGAACTGACGACCTTCTGATCGGCAAGTCCTAGGCTATGTGGTTTAACCCACAGCGCCACCCGTGCCATCCAAATGTTTTGGACTACAATTCCCATCAGCCCCAGTCAGCATGCAGTCCATTTCCAAACCTATGGGAATCTACCCCTTCTTAGATATATGTGACCACTATTTGTCTAGAGATTTCATGTCCAGGAATGACTCTGTTCTGCTGATCAGCAAACCAGTAGATTGCTAACATCCCCACTATTTTTCCTTTGGCACCAGACACCTCAGATCACTCTGCATGGCATTGTAGTTTCTGGTATTTGCATATAATCACCTATACATGTTGCGTTCCATTAAATGCCCCCTTGGTGTGTAATTTTCCCTCTGACACTTTTGCTCCCCTTAATTTCCATGCGCTCGTTGCCAGAGGACACAACGCATTGAAGAACATCATCTCTAATGAATGAGTCATTTGGAACCAGATGTTCCTCAGCACCTATCAGGTTTCCTCCAGAGATCCACAAAATTGGGAGCATCGTTTAAATCACCATATGCTGCCATTATCCATAGGCTTCTGTCAGGTTCAACCTGTCTCAAGTTGGCTAAGAAAATATATCTGTGAATTCTTGAAATAGGGCCTTGGAAGTCAAACAGCCTAGGTGCAGAGAGCTGGTTTCAAACACTCACTGTAGCAGTGTGGAATCAAGAGTGTCTAAAGGTGCTTATAGATAATCATTTAATATTTAATACAAATATTTAATATGAATTTAATACAGATAATCATTTAATATTTAATACGAATGGATGTCATTAATATTTTAGTTGTTGTATAAAGGATTGCTATTTTGATTGGAGGGTAATTGAGATGAATAAGATTTTGGGATGCAGAAATAAAGTAAATCATCAAACCATCAATTCTAGCACATGGGAGGCCACCTAAATTAAATTCTATAATTTGGCATTTGAATGATTGGGATTAGTAATTGTATTATAATCTGGCATTGCTAAAATGAGGCTATCATTGGATTGTTGTAATTGGAAACTAATAAAAAGTATTGTAAAAAAAAAAAAAGGGTGCTTACAGACGAGGGCTTAATATTGTAAATGAGTTGCTCAGGTATTGCAAACAGTTAATTTGCAATGGGTTATTCATCAAATTTTCCCTGGAAAGGTAAAATCCAGATTTTAATTTTGTTGTTGTTGGGAGACACTGGCATTGTGTGGATACTGCAAAAAAACTTGTCTGTACGAAGAGCCCACAATAAAAAGCCATCTGGAAGCACCTAAACTCATAAGCCTGAGCCTTTTCATGTCCTCATCAACCTCCAAAACAAATGCAGCAATGGAAGAAAGAAATCAAGTTGGTCCTTTTTTTCCTGAGAACATCTATGACATTGGCACAGTAAGACCAGACAATGGTTTCTATATGTTGTGCATGCAGAAATTTTATTATTTATTAATTTATATTCCACTTAATACCAAATTGGGCTTCTAAGCTAATTGCACAAACATTAAAATATAACCGTCCATAATTAAAATACTCAATAAAGCAGTAAATACACAATACAAGGATTAGTGCAATTAGCGCCACAGCTCCGTTCTCGGGTGCTGGGACCAGGCCAGTTTTGGGGGGGTTGTGGAGAAGACATTAAAAAAAATTATAATGACTAGAAATGTGATTATTTAATCTGTGTGAACTGGCAGATGTGCTTGCTGGTGAACAGATGCTGTCTGCTGCTGATAATAATCTTTTGCCTTAGGAAAAAAATACAGCACCCTGCTTTTCTTCCTTGGGTGCGTGTGTCCGGGGTTGGCCTGTTCCTTAGTAAAAAAATAGTGAATGACATACCGTATTTTTCACTCCATAGGGCGCACCGAACCATAGGGCGCACCTAGTTTTTAGGGGGGGAAATAAAGGGGGGAATTATTTCCCCCCTCCCAGCCCCAAAGAGCAAAGAAGCCAAGACAGCCAGCGGGATCCATCCCGCTGGCTGTCTTGGCTTCCTCTTTAGCCACACACAACCTCTCCAGCCGAGAGAGGCTGTGCATGGCTTTGGCAGAAGCCAAGACAGTGAGCGGGATGGATCCTGCTCGCTGTCTTGGCTTTGTTTTTAGCCGCGGGG